TAAATATTAGGGCTTCAGTTCAGATTTTAGACAAAGGTTCACATCAATTCTCATTGCGTTCTCATTAGTTCACACCAGTGTGCTCAAATCTAGAGGAGCATCTGCTGCCAGCTGAGCCATATTGACACTGACAGAAGGCACAGTAAGCTCAGAGTAAATAAGTGAATGATCTGAAACAGAACAAAAAGCCAAAGAAAATCTAATAAGTGGAGTAGAAACATTTTGAAGTGCAGATCTTTTCCCTTCACCTGATGAACTAAGTCTAATGGGCTTGATATTGCACCCTTTTTCTCATTTAAGTAATCCTCACTCAAGCAAGAAGATTCATTGTCTGCCTGCTAGAGAAGAAACAATCTGTTTGAGGAAGATTTTCAGGATCTGGACAGGACAGACACTGATCTGTAGTATGGGATTTGTGATTTAAAAACATAACAAAAGCACGTGGGAGGCAGTGAAGCTTTATGACCAAGATAAGTCCCCTTTTGCTTAGAGTCAGATCCCAAAGGCTGGAACAGCTGTCAGGAATAGGGAGAGTGGCAGACTCCAGCTCTGCATGTGCAGAGGGTTTCTTGGTGTCATGACAAGAGATGAGCCCTTGGCATGGAGCCTTGTCTGGAACTGGATGCCCAGGTCTTCATTTTGACTCATGCAGTAGAATTGAAATATTATTGTTTCCTACAGAATAGTTCAGCAAGTGCAGAAACTAGTGCTGTGCTGATAAATGATCCCTCTCTTGAAAGGATTTCCTTTTTTTGAACATTTGCTTTTAGGACTTTTAACTGTTTCTGGTAGACCATATGAAAATCTCTGTTTCTCCAATTGTGGGGGAATGCTTGCAGCATGCTCTTTCTGTACTGTTATCATGGCAGCAGGACGAAGTCTACCAGTTAGCACATCATACTTTGTTCTGACACCTTTCTGTGGAAGGCACTGTGTTCCCAGTGTCATGGATGAGCAAGGATGATTACGTTCATGTTACCACCTTTAGGTGTCATGTAAGCGTAGCCAGCTTCACTCACCTATTTTGGAAAATCTTGACTTTAATTTATGCTTTAGCTGCCTTTTTGCAAAACAGAGATTTAATGTGTATTCTAGACAGAGAGATGGGGACTTTGTGCAGAGTTTTGCACTTGGGCCGGAAGAATCCCAGGCATCCCTACAGACTGGAAGGAGAGGTCCTTGAGA